TTTTATTGCCCTGGAAATAATGGGCATTTTATTGACCGCTGGGTTATAATTATAATTATAACTATATATAATATAATTAACTAGTATGTGCTTGTGCAGGTGGATAAAGCGACCTGCACTATAAAAAGAAAGAAATTGCTACTAATTTAGTACCAATTTTGCTACTAAATCGTCATTTGGTTCTATATTTTAATACCAAAAATCAGCTCTAATTTAAAACTTTTTGTTTACATGAGTAGCAGAAAGAAATTTTAATTCTTAACCCAAGGGAGTAAAGTATATCCTTAAGGATCTATTTCATGCTCCAATGCGTATTTATGATGATTTGGATTTTAGAAAAAGATTTTTTTCTAAAATCCAAATCGCATCATAAACGCATTGCAGCTCTTCTATAGTGTATAATTATAAAACAGAAACAAAAGTTAACATTATATTTATACTTTTGTTATAGAGCAAAGCCTTCATATACAAGTGCTCGTTTCCTTATAAATTAGAGGTGAAATTTAAAATGCTCAAGTGCGACACATTTTCTCCGTGAATCATTTAAATAGAATCGGCGTCTTTACGCGCATTTTTTTTTGTTCTCTTCAAGTACTTCACTCCTCTTTAATCTTTACTCCCCCGCGTATATATATATATATATATATATATATATATATATATATATATATATATATATATATATATATATATATATATATATATATATATATATATGTATTCGTGAATACTGATTCACGGAGGAAATGGAGTTTTGTTCAACCCCAACGCGCTGTGTCGAGTTGGGAAAACACGTTGATTCCAATACATGTATATAAAAAGTACACATATAGTGCATATATATATATATACAAATACGGTTTTCATAAATGCGTACACTGTGTTTTGTGTCCAGATTCTGTTCCGCAGGAACAAACTTTTCAACAACCCAATTCTAATTTGACTTTATGTGTGCGCTCTTTCTCTCTTTTCTAGTTTCGTGTATTTCACGCGGCGGGTAATTCTTTTTTTTTTCTCTTTTCTGTCATACACTCATTGCTATATAGCTGTATGCGTATTTGTATCTCTCTTTCTTGTGTATTCGCGCGAGCGCACGAGTATTTTATATATATGTATGTTTGAAGCCAGTAAGTTTATAATGACCCACCTGTTTTCATCCGGAGCTGAACATGATATGTAAACGAAGCGCGCTTTTCTATGAGATGCACAAGCACTCGCTGGTATAACATTTCAATTATATGCGTGTCAGTGTATATAATCGTTTGCATTTACAATACAAATACGCAGCCAACAATTTAATTTAATTTTTCTTTTTTGTGTTTATATTTCTAAATGACACATTCAATTTTTTAAAGGGTGTTCCCATTTTTTATTTCGGAAAGTTCTATATTTACACCCACCGCGAATGTTTTTTGTACTATAAACAAATGTATATATACTTAAATGTAAAATTTATAGTTTCAAAGTTTGGATATTTATTACTCTCTAAATTTGAATTAGTAAAAATGTTTACTAATTTGACTTAGTCACTGACTTTTTGCTTTTGAATTAGTAAATTTTTACTAAAAAATTAGTAGAAATTACTATTTATTAGTGAAATTTGCTTAATTTAATTTATTAATTAGTAAATTTTACTAAAAAATTAGTAGAAATTAATATTTATTAGTAACATTTACTAATTCAAAAGCAAAAAGTCAGTCACTAAATTCAAATTAGTAAACATATATTACTAATTCAAATTTAGCGAATATATTCTTCGAGTCACTTTATCAATTTAAGGATCCAGATCAAAGAACCGATAATAATGTTTTTAAGCTAAAAATCATTGTCCCATACAACAAAAATTACTAAAAAAAAAAAATAAAAAATTTTTTTTTTAAATTTTAAAAAAATTAAAAAAAAATTAAAAACAGTTTTAAATTACAATTTTTTGGAGGAATATTCTCGTAAACTTTATTCAAATACAAAATAGTTGCAAGATATCAAAATTTGAAATCCTTTTTTCATTTTAAAGTCGAGAATTTTGAGTCTTAAAAAATTATATAATCGCTTCTTTGATCGGGATCCTCAATTAACCCCTTCATCATTTTCGGAACAAAAAACGCAGGGTTGCCACAAAAATTTAATTTTGTTTTTTCCTGACTTTTCCCTGATTTCCATACAAAATTTTGACTATATATTTCTGATTCACTCTAAAAATTATAAGATACTCAACTAAATTTTCTATTATTATTATTAATATTATTTATATTATTATCTAAAATTTTAACTGAAATTCATTTTCAAATCAATTTTTAATAGAAAATTCGAGGAGAATTCAATTATTTGAATACGAAAATAAATAATTTATTAATTTCATGTTTCCTGAAATTAAATTCTTATATAAGGAATTTTTTTCTTTTGACGAATTTTAATAAAATTTTTTAAGTATAATTACATTTTTCGAGGAATTCAATAAAAATTGTATATTAAAAATAATTGAATTTTCTTTTAGAAATTCAATTTTTCTAAAAAAAAATAATATTCAACGCAGAATTGAAATAATTAAAATAAATGAATTTCTATTTAGGAAATGCAATTATTTTCCTAAATAATAAAATTCATCCCAGAATTTTAATAAGTTTTAATAAAATTTGTATCAAATTCCTTGAAAAATTTAATTATTTTTCAAAATTTTATTAAAATTCGTCGAAAGAATTCAATTATTTAAAAATATTGTTGATGAAATTCCTTATGAGAATTGAATTTCAAGAAAAATTTAATTATTCAAGAAAGTATTTATTTTTATATTCAAATAATTAAATTCTCGTAGAATTTTCTGATGAAAATTAATTTAATGAAAATGAATTTCAGTTAAAATTTTATATAATTATAATTGAATATTAAAAGTTTTATAGCTTTTATGTTATTATTTTATTATTAATATGAAAAAATCAATTATTATCTCAAATTTTAAGTAAAATTTATTTTTAAACCCATTTTTATTAGAAAATTTTACAAAAATTCAATTATTATTAAATTTAAAAAATAAAAATAATTTTTTAAATAATTGAATGATTTTTATAATTGAATTCTCATAAAGAATTGTATCACATACTTTTTAAATAATTGAATTCTTTTGATGAATTTCCATGAAATTTAAAAAAATAATGAAGTTTTTTAAGGAATTTGGTTAAAATAGTATTAAAAATAATTGAAATTCTCCCAAGAATTTTATTCTAAAATTTCTAAAAAATAATAGAAATAAATAAAAAATATAGAATTTCTAAAAAGAATTTTATTATTTATGAAAATAATTGAATTCCTAAAAAGAATTTTATTAAAAATAATTAAATTATTACGAAGAAATTTATAAAAAAAAAATTTTGTAAACAATTGAATTACTGCGAACAAAATTATAAAAATTTTGAAAATAATTGAATTCATTTGAAATTTTTATTATTTATGAAAAAAATTAAGTCTGCGTAAAATTTTATTAAAAAATTTTTTAAATAATTGAATTCTTTTAGAAAATTTTATTAAAATATTAGTAAAGATGTTGAAAATCATTGAATTAGGAAAAATATTTAAAATTAATTGAAATTATTTTGTCGAGAATCTTATTAAATTTTTTGAAAATAATTGAAATTTTGAAGAGAATTTTAAAAAAAATTTTTTTAATAATTGAATTTCTGCGAAGAATAATTGTATTACTTTTGAAAATAATTGAATTTTTTCAATCATTTCTAACTTTTCACAAATAAAATTTTTTTAGGTTTTTTAACTATAAAATTTTTCTATAAATCCATTATTTTTAATAATTAATTAATTATTAACAAATTTAATTACTTTCAAGAGAATTTAAATTATTAAAATTTTTCAAAAATCTAAGTTCTTTAATAATTCTAATGAAATTCATTTCAAATTGAAATTTTATAAAATTTTAAATTGAAACCTGCTTTCGAAGTTCATCTGTTTATGAAGATTGTAAACGCAACTCTTTTAAAATTCAGTTAATTTTCAAATATTTGAGTAAAATTATTCATTAAATAATTTCTAAGTAATAAGAAGTTTATATAATAGTTTTTCAAGAATCAAATTATTTAAAAAGAAATTATTGTCAGAAATAGAAAAAATGAAAAGTTTTGTTTATTAGAATTCGTGGTAATTTCATGGTTTTTAAGGCAAACAAAAAAAATCACTAAAAGTCCGAAATTCTTATGAATTCTAAAAATTTAAATTTTTCCAGTACTTTTAATAAAAATCCCTGACTTTTTTCTGACTAATTTTATTTTTCCTGATTTTTGCCTGAATTCCCGGACTTCCTTGACCTATGGCAACCCTGAAGAATACAGTATATAAGAGAATTGTCCAAAATATTTTATAAAATAAAATATAATAAAATATAATAAAATATAATAAAATATATAATAAAATTTATATTTTATAAAAAAATTGTCCAAAAAATTTAATTTAGTCGCATATTTAAAGTTTTAAAGTATAGCTAAACTTGATTTTTTCACCATAATTAGAAAATCCAAAATGGTCGATTCAATATGGCGTCTACATTTTTAAAAAATGGACGTATCTTTAGATTTTTTATTAATTTTTTCATTTGAATTATCCCCATTTGAATTAGATTTCGATGTTTCCTGTGTTTTTGGATCTTTTTCTTAATGCACATCCGTTTTTGTTTATTATTATTTACCTTAAGAGGTAATTTATTTGAATTCATCGTTTGGATATTTTTTTAAAAAAAAGTTTAAATAACTCATAGAAACAGTGAATAAAAATTCGCCGTGAGTTAAATATCGTTGCGCCTACTGAAAAGAATCGGTTCTGCTCTATATATATATATATACAAACGAAAAATATGATTCAAATTTACGTGGACTTCATTTCGTGATGTCCAATTAAAAATTAATTAATACTATATATGGATTTCGAGGGAGAAGAGAGCCGAAAAAAAGGGGTGACTAACAAAGACGGATGCCAGAAATAACTGTGTTGTGGGGACTCACCAGTTGCGGTTGAGGTCGTGGGTTGATAGGGTGCTCCGCCTGGTCCTGCCGGCTGACCCCCAGGCGTAGTGGGGGTTCCACCATGGGAGGTTGGTATCCCACGATGTGTCTGCGAATGCGCAGCCGTACTGTGAGCGTGCGAGTAAGATTGCGTAAGGGAATGTAGAGGCTCGTGGAAAACGTATGCGGGGTAACCTTCGGCCCTTTGCTGAAGGCAGCTACCACCCATTGACCCGCCCAAACTGCTCGACATTGAACTGCAACAAAAAATTTAGCCCTTCTCACCAAAACAGTAACAACAACACCCGCCTCCGTATTCAAAAATCAAAACCCAAATTATGATGCGACGTCTTGAGAACAGTTCCAACTTCACAAAAAGTGTTGATTTGTGAATCGGTTCATGAGTTTAGTTCTGTTAAAATTATTTATTCCCCTCTGGGCAAAAAACCATATAATCCTTTAGACAATATTATTGGCAAAAAACCAAATAATCTTTTAGACAATTATAATACACCCTCGTTCTTGAACTGTTTTGGAACATTATTTGCAGGCTTCGCACTCATCTACTAAAACCTACTATTTACTACTTGTTTTTACGTTATGCTACTACTTGAGTACTTTTAGATTTCTGCCACTAAAAGCTACTATTTCTGTTCTGTTTTTTTTGAAAATTTACTTCAAATTCGCTAATTCTAGAAATCAAAAAACTATTCTCAAAAATTATAATCAAAATCTTTAAAGTTTAAAGCGATTCAATTATTTTCAAAAAATATTCAAAATTCAATTATTTTCATAAAATATTCGAAATTCAATTATTTGCAATGTCTAGTATTTTCATGAAATTTTGCAAAAGAATTCAATTATTTAAAAAAAAAAATGGATTATATTCATCCAAAATTCAATTATTTTCATAAATAATAAGAATTTCCACAGGAATTCAACTTAATTTAGAATAGCATTTTCGAAAAAATCAATTATTTAACAAAATTTTTATACAATTCTTCACAATAATTCAATTACTTTCACTAATAATAACATTTTTTATGGAAATTCAATTTAAAAAAAAATTTTTTGGTAAAATTCTATAGGCAAAGAATTCAATTATTTTCACAAATAACAAAAACTCAGCGAATAATTTCAATTATTTTTAATACTATTTTAAATTAATTATTCGAAAAATTCAATTATTTTTACAAATAAAGTTTTCCAGAAGAATTCAATTATTTTCAAAAATAAAATTTTTCACAGAAATTCAATTGTTTTTAAACATTTTCATAAAATTTTTCACAATAATTCAATTATTTCCATAAATAATAAAATTTATCTCAGGAATTCAATTATTTTTGAAAATTTTAATAATATTCTTAGCAACTATTCAATTATTTTCATAAATAATATAATTGATCGCATAGGATTTCAATTATTTTTAATACAATTTTAGAGAAATTGCTCAGAAAATGTATTTATTCTTAAAAATTTAATTTCGATTTCTTGAAAAAATTAATTATTTAAAAAAATGTTTATTTAATTCTTTGGAAGAATTCAATTATTTACAAAAATATTACAATTTTTCACAGGAATTCAATTATTTTCAAATATTTTATTAAAATTGTTCGATAAAATTCAATTATATTTGAAATAGAATTTTAATTAAATTTTTTTTAAATAATTCAATTATTCTTTTAGATTTTAATAACATTCTTCCCAAGAATTCAATTATTTACATAAATAATTTTTCGAAAGAATTCAATTATTAAAGATAAATAACAAAATTATTTTCGAAAATACAATTCTTTTGAGGAATTTTAATAAAATTGTTTACAAAATTCAATTATTTTCATAAATAACAATAATTATCACAGAAATTCAATTATTCAATTACTTTTAAAAATAATAAATTTCTTCTTAGAAATTCAATTATTTAAAAAAGTTCTAAGAAAATCATTTGCAAGAATTAAATTATTTTCATAAATAATAAAATGCTCTTTAGAAATTCAATTATTTTTCATACTATTTTCAATGAATTAATCGAAAAATTCAATTATTTTCACAATTAAAATTTTCCACAAGAATTCAATTATTTAAAATAGAATTTTCATAATATTTATTAGTTTTCGAAAAAAGTATTTAATTAAAACAGTTTTTATAAAATTCTTATGAAGAATTTATGTTTCACAGAAATTCAATTCTTTTTAAATATTTCAATAAAAATTTTCGTTCTAATTCAATTCTTTTCATAAATAATTATATTCTTCTCAGAGAATTCAATTAGTTTTGAAAATTTCAATAAAATTCTTAGCAACTATTCAATTATTTTCATAAATAATATAATTGATCGCATAGGATTTCAATTATTTTTAATACAATTTTACAGGAATTGATCAAAAAAAGTAATTGTTCTTAAAAATTTAATTTCAATTTCTCGAAAAAATCAATTATTTAAAAAAATGTTTTTTAAAATTCTTTCAAAGTATTCAATTATTTACAAAAATATTAGAATTTTTCACATAGGAATTCAATTATTTTCAAATATTTGAATAAAATTGTTCGAAAAAATCAATTATTTTAAATACAATTTTAATCAAATTTTTTTGAAATAATTCAATTATTTTTTTAGATTTTAATAAAATTCTTCCCAAGAATTCAATTATTTAGATAAATAATTCTTTGAAAGAATTCAATTATTAAAAAAAATTCTAATAAAATCGTTCGCTAGAATTCAATTATTTTCATAAATAATAAAATGCTTTTTAGGAATTCAATTATTTTGAAAAAAATTTAATAAAATATACCACACAGACATTCAATTATTGTAAAAATTTTTAATAGAATGTTTTGTAAAATTTAATTATTTTTAAAAACTTTTCGCAATTCAATGATTTTCAATATTTACTATTTTCATAACATTTTCGAACAGAATTCAATTATTTAAAAAACTTATTTTAAAAATCTTCGTAAGAATTCAATATTCTTTTCATGTTTAATAAAAATTTCTCAGGAATTCAATTATTTAAATTAGAAATTGCATAAAATTAGTCGAAAGAAATCAATTATTTAAAAAATTTTAGAAAATTCTTCGCAAGAATTAAATTATTTTTATAAATATTTAAATTTTTTCATGAATAATAAAATTCGTTGCAGGAATTTCAATTTATTAGCAGGATAAGAAAGAAGTAATTATATTGTTGATGAAAATTATTAGGAAAAAGTCGGGAAATTAAAATGTAGAATGAAATTTTTGTCAGTTTTCTGGTGTCTAAAAGGGGTTTGTTTGGTCCTCAAGTTTAATTTTTCGATAGCTATTTTTTACCACTTTTTTATATTTTGAGAGCTATTTTTTTATATTTTTATATTTTTGCTATTGTTTAAAATGAATTATCGAGTGCGAAGTCTGTATTTAGCGGACGCATAAAACGTTCCAAAACCTTTTCAAGAACATTTTTTTTAACAAGCATGCGATTTTTTTTTGCCCAGTTGGTTAAAATTCTGCTAAAATTATAAACGTTAATTATCAATTTTAACAGAAATGTTAAAATGCCTGTTACCTGTAAGAGTCGGGCAAGCTTGCAATCGGCTGTGGAATGGACGAGTACCTAACGAAACCAAATCGAGATCAAAACTTTACCAATAAGGATGATAAAAGATGAGAGAACAGAGGAAGAGAGTATATAGATGCGAGACGTCTTTTGTGAGAAAAAGTTGTCTTTTTGATCATATTATAAATATTATGTGTTATTATAATTACCTGTAAGTGTCGGGCATGGTGGCGATCGGTTGCGGAATCGAGGAGTACATTGCATTGAATCCGGCATTCAGTGGCAGTCTCGGTGTCGAGGGTGTCGCTGCAGGAGGCGCTGATCCAGTACTACTGCCACCGGTACCGCCACCAACCACCTGGTCCACCGCTGCTCTTCTTTGATTTCGCAATTTTTCCTCCCGTCGCCATTTCGCTCTGCGATTGCTGAACCAGACCTGTATATTTTGACAAAAGGAAAACAATTTTGGTTATTAATCCAACTAATTTCTATATGATGCAGATGTTTTGTCATTCGCAACAAGCAGTCATTCCTGGGTTTTTTGGTCGTGCGCGGTTGTTTCTGAATTCTTGTTTGGACTTTGGGTTTGTTTGATGGGGTGCTGTTTTTTGGAATTTTGGTTCTTTTAGGTGTGCTTTATATTTTAGGTATATATCTTTTGGGTGTTACTTTTTGGATGATGGTATTTTTTATCAGGTACTATACTTTCGAGTATCTTTTAGGCGCTATTTTCAGCACTTAAAGCAGCACCTAAAAGATAACTCCTCTGGGTGCTTGTTTCTGGGTATAGAATTAGCTTCTGGGTAGCATTCTGTACTGATGCTTCTGAGTCTGATCGTTTGGGTGCTGTTTTTAGATATACTTTTGGGTGCTACTTGTAAGTGTACTGCTTTCGATTGTTATTGTTTGGGTGCCACTTTCGATTCGATTAATACAACTAAGAGTATACTTAAAGCAGCTTTCTTCGATTATGGCGGGAGTTTCGGGACGAAAAGAAGAATGAACAATTTTAGAGGAAAGGAGAAATCGCCGTTGGCGTCAGGCATAGTGCTCCAGGGACGGTCCAGTAGCAAGGGACGACGAACAGCAATTAGACGTAATTTCATAACAGCCAGGACGAGCGGTAAAATTCAATTTCACCTCTATTTTGCGCTTGGAAATGAATTACTAAACTCCCTTTTCAAGAAGATAAAAATAACCCGCTCATTTATTCCCAGTATAAAGCAGATCTAAAATGATCATTCTTCCTAAGATCCAAAAAGATGTATACATAAAATTTTCTGTAGGTCATCGTAAGAAAGAAATATTTGTATCGGAAGTTTTTTTTTGGAGACGCGAAATGATAATGAACAGGGGACAAACCGGCGATGAGAATTGAGCAAGTAGGTGTGTATAGGTAGAAAAGCGGGAACGGCCAATCAGAGTACAACCTCCCGGGGGACGCCACGTTGCCATAGCAGCGCCCAAACTCCCTCTTAGGCCTTACACTCTCTCTCGATCCTTCATGGCCCGAGACTCAGGAGCTATATCGCGCCTCAACGTTTTCAGTGCCATAACATATCGGGTACCATTCTATTCTCGGTCTGTCCATTCGTCCGAGAGAGACAGAGGAGGAGGAGAAGGAGGATGAGAAGGAGGCCAAAGGGGGACACAAGAGGGCGCTTATCAGAGCAAAAGAGAGGAACCACCACACCGCCCTCCCCTTCCTCCCTCTACTGTCTCGTGCTCACTCCCGGTTTCCTGCACTTAGCAAGATCAATACCAGCCAACGAGGCTTGAAAACATGCGTCAACATGGTCTTGCACTGTTTGTGCGTCCACATAACGCTGTACCCCGAACCCAAACTCTATCCCATTCCTGCCACTTCGCTCACCCCTCGGTGCCCCTCGGTGCCCCTGGGAACCCCTGGGTACCCCTCGGCTATACCGCGTTTCTACCTACGGCCAAACAATGTCCGACAAGGCTGCGTACATATTAACTTATACCACCGCCATATATACCCACATCACCCCTTCGATGAGAGAGAGAGAGAGAGAGAGAGAGAGAGAGAGAGTGAGCGGTATTAATTAAAATAATTCTCGGACACCGGGCGCACTGTGTGTATACATACACTTTTGCGCCAAACGGAAAGTGGTGGTGGTGGTGGCACTACACACCCAATATGGAGACCACCCTGCATGACGATGAACCGTTGACGTTTGTAGCGTGTGCAAGTCCTGACGAACTTCAATTTACATAGTGTAGACTGGAAATCTTGCTAATCGGGAAACCTGTTTCGCAACCTTGTTAGGAATATCGAGCTCCACAAACCAACAAGCGAAATTTGTATAGATCAGAATGAAAACTTGTAAAAAGGGCATATTTTATTTGTAACTAGTTATTCGAACAAATAAAAGTTTTAACGATGTAAAATTTTACATCTCTCAAATTATCTCAAATTTCCCTTTTCAATAGCGCGAGTCTAAATCACTAAAAAACCTTTTAGTCTCATCTCGGAGTGAAAAGAGTTCGGAACACAATTTGAGGACTAAGAACCTCTGACTAAGTCAGATGAGCAACGTAAACAAGGATAATAATATTCCTTGCAACTAAATAATTATATTTATTTATTTTAATTGTTTGCTTTACTCCGTAGCTCAAAGATAACAGAAGTTTTTCTACGGATATCAAATTGAGACAAAAAAAAATCAAATGTGTAGCTTCGGAACACTTTTGATACTTTTTTTTTGTCTCAATTTGATATGAAACAGTGACAGTAAAACCTAAAACTATAAAAAAAAGTTTATTTAAAAATAACCTGGCGCAATGGTGAATGCAAATTCTGTGATTGAATCAAATATCAAATTGAGGCAGAAATCAAAACGTTACTTCGCAATAATTTTTAATATACGTTTTTTAGTCTCAATTTGATACCCTTAGAAAAAATGTGATGATATATTTTAAATCAGAACTGTCCAGCTACCTTAAAAACTTTGAAAAGTACTTGAATTTTTTTTGCTCCTTGAAAACATTGAAAACACCTTGAAAACACCTTGATTTTTATGACAAAACCTTGAAAAATCAAAATTCTTTAAAATGAGATTTATTTCCTTGATCTTTTTTTTAAGTTGAATTCTCTTCAATATTTTAATTATCATTACAAATATAAAAATTCTTCGGGAGAAATTCAATTATATTCAAGAGTTTTAATAAACCTCTTGTCAAAATTTATTATTTACAAAAAATTTTAATGAAATTTATTTACGTTAAAAAATTTTAAAAATATTTTCGTCAAAATTTCAATTACCGCATTTATAAATAATAAAAATTCTTCTATAAAATTTAATTATTATCAAAAATTTTAATAAAATTCTTCGCAAAATTTCAATTATGTTCAAAAACTTTTAAATTATTCACGTAAATATTTCAATTATTTTTATGAATAATAAAATTCTTCTTCGAAATTCAATCCATTTAATTCTTACATTTAAATTATTATCATAAATAACAATATTTATCACAAGAATTCAATTATTTTCAAAATTAATAAAAAACTTTACAGAAATTCCATTATTTTCAAAAAAATTTTTAAAACTCTTTGCAAAATTTCAATTATTTTCTAAAATTCTAATAAAATTCTCAGCAGAAATTCAATTATGTTCAAAAATTTTTGTAAAAATTTCAATTATCTTAAAAAATAAGAAAGTTGTTCTCCAAACATCAATTATTTTAAAAAAATTTATTAAAATTCTTCGGAGAAATTCAATTATGTTAAAAAATTTAAAAATATTGTCATCAAAATTTAAATTATAGGTATTTAAACATAATAAAATTCAATTATTTTCAGGAATTTTAATAAAATTCATTGCAATATTAAATTACTTTCATATAAATAATAGTATTTATCACAAGAATTCAAATATTTTCAAAAAATTTTAATAAAAGTCATGTCAAAATTTCAATTATTTTCAAAAAAATTTTTTACTTCGAGATGGGTTTTTAATATTCTACTATTTTAATAAAATATCCCGAAAGAATTATATTATTAAACAAAAGTTTTTAAAAACACAAACTTTCAATTATTTAAAAAAAAATTTTTTTTACATTAATTCAATTATTATTTAAAATAGAATTTGCATAATTTTTTTTGTCAAAAATCAATTATTTTAAAATTTTCCATTAAATTCTTCGCAGTTATTCAATTATTTTTAAAAGTAATAAAATTTCAATTATTTTCAAAAATTTTAATAAAATTCATGTCAAAATTACAATTATTTACAAAAATTTTTCTTAATTCAATAATTTTTATATCAATTTTTTAAATAGAAATTCTCAAAAGAATTCAATTATTTAAAAACAATTTTGATTGATGTTTCTTAAATCGATGTTTATAGATAAGAAGTAAAATTCCCTTTCAAATTTTTTTCATAGATATGAAGTAGTAAATTCGATCAATAGGAAGGTAAAGTATAAATAACATATTTGTCATTTTTAAAGTTGCGACGTTTCGACAGTTTGGTTCACTGTCTCCATCAGGCTGATAATGTATACTAAAACTTTATCATATTTTAATTATTTTTGAAAATTACCAAAAATCTTTAAATTTTTATTTTAAAAAATATTTTCAAATGTTTAATTTAGAATTTCGCTATAAATAAAAATTTGGTTTCTTCAAAATTACTAAAATTGGATTAATTTTGCGAGAAATGCTTTATAAAATATAGTGTTTCTTGTATAGATAATTAACTTTAATATTTCCACTCAATTAGGTTACAGACAATATATCTTTGAGAATAGTTAAACATTTCCCGTATAAGGTAGTCTAATATATACTTAATATATCTATATAGAATAAACTTATATACTAGAAATTTCCAAGAATATCATCTAAAACTTTATTTTAAAGTTTCTTTGAAAAAAAATTTAAATTTCCTAAGAAATCGAAACAAGTTTTTGTTCATCGACATATTAGATTGACATGTCGAACGAATTAGAGATGAACCAGAAGAAAAAATAGTTGAACTTTTATGAAATTTGATATTTAGCCGTTTTTACAGTCGTGAATATATAAAAAGAAATAGAAATTTAAAAAAATCGATTTTTTCTACCACATAATTTTTTTAATAATTACGTTCTTGACGTATTTGAAAATTTAAAAAAAATAGTAGGGTATAGGGCGTCAAGGTGGCCAGACCCCTGGGGAAATTCTCGTGCATTATTTGGCAGCACCATTTTTAGCAAAAATAATATAAGAAAAATTTAAAAATTAAGTCGAAGATTGACTAAAAAATAATAATTTATAGTCAAATTTATCGCGCACGATTTCAGAATTTTCTTTTAGCGGAGTATTATCTTTGAAGGAGAGTAAAGACGGATTTAAATGAACCACCTTCCCCTCCCTGGACTCTTTCTCTTTCCGTAATGATTCTCATTCAGCAGAGCGCAGTAAACTTACAGGAAGTATTTTCACGAACTGAAAGTTCTTTTAGAAAGTTATTATTTCACTAGATTTGTCGAGTAGAGGAAGGGAGAAGGAAAAACGTTCAGGAGGGTTCATGCAGAACGGTCACAGAGAGAAAGAGAGAAGAACATCCTTAATGAAGGAACTTTGTCGCATTTAACGTCCGTTTGCTTCATGAGAGAAGGGAACGTGGTAGTAGTGAGAGAGACGCGAGAGAGTAATGGAGGGCACACACACACACACAAAAAAGTATACATAGAAGAAGAAAGAGGAAAGCGAGTGAGAACTATATATGTGTGTAAGAATAATGATGAAGAAAGAGATGGCAAAGAAGAACAAGAAGAAGAAGAGTTGGGGAGGTAAAGGCAACACACCACATTCGCGCGCACATTCACACTCACCTGGATACGTGCCTCAGGCAATCCAATCTTCTCGGCGAGACGCTCCCGTGCAAACACGTCCGGATAATGTGTCCTCTCGAATTCTGAAACGAGGCAAGTTTGCAACAAGTGCTCATTATTGTTTGTCAAAAAATCTTCCTATATACTAAAAAAGAGTCAAATGTAGATAAATTCTCCTAAGAAGTTTGGTAAAACTTACCTTTTTCAAGACTGTCGATTTGCTCATTCGAAAATGAAGTTCGATTCCGCTGGAGTTTTCGCTTCAGCCTTAATCGCACTTGCGAATCTTCATCGCCTGATGAATTATGCTCGGAATTGCCATCGGATGTTGTTTCCTGCTGGTGGGAAAGCAGGGAGCCGGTTTCTGTTTGGAAAAAAAGGTAATTTTAATGTTAATGTTATTGGTAATGTTTTATCGTACAAACGTATTGCAACAGAAGAAGACATCAGGTCATTTTTATGACATTCGTAAGATTTAGGCCCGAACCTATTTGCTTGCAGTACACTGTCAATTCGGTAACTCGCCAGACTCCATGTCAGAAATATCTCAAACTTTGTCATTGTTCAATGAACGTTAAATTGTATCTCAATTTAATTGATTACGAAACAAGTGTTTTAACTAAAGATACTTTCTATCATATCCTTTCTATTATTTTTCCCCAAACATCAATAATAATTGTAACAATTTTTATTGCATGTGTTGTGAACGTCAACATCTGCTAAAACGACTGTACGGGGACATCGCGATTACATTCCAGATATTGATGATCGATATTAGTCGATTTTCCCTCCGATTGTCTACTGAGGCGAACCGATCGATCTTAAACGGACAGACTTGTCGGGAATTATTTTCGAACCGGTGTTCGTTGAATCTAGTGCAATTTGGCGCTCACTTCGAATATTAAAGTGTAAATTGATTTCATTAATATTAGCACAAGTCAACAAATATACTTTTTTTGATGGATACAATATACCAGTTAAAGAATTCATTCAACAAATAGCATACACAGTTTTAATTGTCGAACTTTCTTCATAACATACTTATATACTAAGTAAACTAAAAGGTGCCGCAAAAACTAGCACTGTAGATATCCAATTTGAAATTTTAACAGACTTATTAGATCATCTCAAAGATAGACTTTCTCCAAATATTATTTGTTGAAATTCATCGACAATATACACTAATACACACAAGTTACTACTAATACAGACAAACAGACACTTAGGACTTGAAGAAACAGATTTTAGACCTGGAATTTTATTGCACTCTTTGACATCACAAGGATGGAAACTTACAACCATTGAAACAACCATTAAGTCTAGGTACAGACAGTCTGGCGCAAAGCCCCAAAGTGCACAGTTCTACTTCAAACATTCCATAAGAAAAAATACATATTACATACACAAACAAACATTCACACAGTAAATTAATTATAATATTGTTTGATAACACTAGCCACGACAACAATTTTATAATTCAAGTGTCATTAATAAAAGTGAACTTAAAAGTGAATTCATACTTTTCTTTATTGATAATCCAACATTATTTATCTGTGGAAATTGTGAATCAAGAGCTATTAGAAGAGGTCCAAACTTTCAACAGAAGATCTAACAAATTGACAACAGAAAATCAAGATTATTCAGAAAAGAAATACCTACTCGAAGAGTCGAAGTAAATAAAAACAAGGGGACAAAGAACCCGAGTCGAAATTTAGAGTAGATTTAAGACCTAATAAGGAGTATTTAGTTTTGCTTTACTACTATTAAAACCTATAAATTCGACTTAAAGTCTTTTAAGTTGTTCTTAGATCGATTTTAGTGATCTTAGGTACTATGACAAAATTCTTTAAAAATCTGTAGGTTCGTCTTAGTACTTATTACATGGATTTTAATACTCTAAGACACCATGACTCCAAATTACAGTTGCTATAGTCCTAGTTAGGGCCTGCCACGACCGATCTATTTAATGCCACATATACCAAAAATTGAAAGAAGTTCCCATTAACACCTGATAAGACCTTCTTGTTCAACTTTGAAATATTTGTTTGCTTCATGTCGAACTTAGAAATATTTTCTATTTTTTTGTATTTTTAAAGTAGATGGCCAACACTTCAAATAATTTTAAGAAAAAATTTTGTAATACATAAATGTTTTATTTATCATTTTAATTTTATTAATCTAATGTGTCCACTCTCTAAATCTGCATTAGTAGAAAGTTACTAATGAAATGACGAAAAGTCTTCCACCAAATGATTTAGTAATAATTTTACTAACAAATAGTGAAATTTTACTAATTATTAGTAGATTTTACTAATTGCTTAGTAGAATTCTACTAACAATTAGTAGAACTGTTTTATTATTAGTCGATAAAACAATTTCACTAATTCATTTAGTGAAAAAGTGACTTTCAATTAGTGGAATTCTACTAAAACATTAGTAAAATGTTACTAAAAATTAGTAATATTCTACTAATTGAAAAGGGGAAAAGTCTTCCATGACACTACTAAAAATTACTAAAATTTTACTATTTCTTAGTAGAATTCTACTAATTAAGATTTAGAGAGCAAGAACATATTTAGTTTTATGAATTAAAATGTGATATATTGTATCATTTAATGACTAAAATTTAATATTAAAAAAAAATTTAGCTTTGACATTAAATTAATGAAAGAATAAATTTCATGTATAAAAAATTCTTTGTTAGTAATAACAAATAATATAATATAACAATATAATAATTTTATTATATTTTGAATTTTTAGATAAAAATTTAGATGTTTACAGTAGATCATGAAAAATTAGATTTTAATGTTTATAATAATATTTAAAATTAATATAATAATATTAATATTATATTATGTTTATTTTAATATAATATATTAAAATTATAATATAATAAGTATTATATAGTAATAACATTAAATATTTATAATATTGCGATTTTTATATATATTTAAAATATAAATATATAGTAAAACTATATTCTTAGAAAAATTATTTTATGTACAGTAAAATATTTTCATTCCTAAGCAAGAACCTTAGAAATATTTTCTCGTTCTGAATTTGACACATCTGGTTTCACTTAGGATGACCAGCCATGAAGGTTTCTCGTCTATTCTATGCGTTTTTCTGTACAAGTTTTTTCATATATATTTATCACCAAAAAAATTTCCAAACATTCCTATGAGACATATTTAGGAATTTCTTCGATTTTCAGAGATATTTTCAAAGAAATGCCTTGAAGCGTCAGTTGCTTTCTAGCATTTGAGAGACAAATACTTAAACCGCGCTCGGCAGGACAATAATATTTAATATTTTAATAAATAAACAATTATTTATCTATTTTCATTATAAATATTCTTTCTGTTTATTGTAGTGCTAAAAAATAGTGTTTTTGTTTTATTTAAAAAGAAAAAATTATTCTTTTTATCCTGTGTTCTTTAAGTGAAATGTTACAAAGTGCAGTTTGAATATATTTAAAAAAACTGGATATATAGTAAAAACTTTAAATGTAATTATTAGTTCAATGTTAATAATTATATATATGTGTGTGTGTGTAAATATATGTGGACGTCCACATGAAAAGGACCCATATTGTCGGTTCTAGTTTTCGAGATAATCGCAATTTAGTAATTTTTGAGCAAATTCTTAATTTTTTATTTATTTTTTATTATCAATCTACATGTTTTGACAAGTCGAATCATGCGGTTTTCATTAATTTATCGATACTTTAAATGTTTGATTTCATTGGTTCTTTAGAAAAATGAAAAGGGCCCATTTTGTCGGTCATTTGCAAAAGTAATCCGTATTTTAAAAATGGAGGTGTAGAAAAATTTAAAACCTCTTGATTTTTCATCTCTAAGGTGTCCTGGACTGTAAACAATTCTTATCTGAATAACTTTCCAGAAGAACCAGAGATATTGATGTTAGAATCTTTTTTTCGTAATTGTCGAAATGAAAATTTTAATATTGCGTCAATTTTTTCATAATAGAGACTGTCAAAAAATTTTAAATAAGTTTAATATCTATTCTTTTTCTTCAAATGACACAATAAAATTGTACCTAATCATTTATCTTGTAAAAAAATGGTTTTTTAATAGAAAAACTGTCCTTTTTAGAAAAGGGCCCATATTGTCGGTTTTTAAATTAATTAATTAATTAAGGGGAGGGGGTGGGTCTAAAAATGTAAAACCTGTTGGTTTTTTATCTTCAAGGTGCCCTGAACTGGAAACAATTCTTATCTGAATAACTTCCAAGAAGAACCAGAGATACAACAATTAGTTGGTATCGCAATCTTTAATTCCGTTTTTCTCGAAATGAGGTTTTTGGCGTTCTAAACTTTGAAATTCCGTAACTCAGCGAATTTTCAACCAAAAAAGTTCTAAGATCACTTAAAATTCTCCAAATTTTGCCAGGATTACGCCCATATAGATAACTCCAATAGTGCCAAAATGGGCCCTTTTCATGTGGACGTCCACATATGTATAACAAAATAAATATATATTTTTGTTCCGAGTTTAATGTTATTATATTATAAATGAATCATTTGTTCATGTAATTTTGTGTTTATTTTTGTAAAATGTTATTAAATATAGCTAAAATACAAGAAAAAAGAAAAAATTGTTTTATTAAAACAACTATATACAGTTAATTCATCATTATGTGGAATTATAAATATATAAGAAAATCAGGTAATGTTACCAGCAATCTATATTAACCATATCATATAGTTAAAGAAAAGGAATTAATATATTAAATTAATAATCCTATATTTTGTTGTTATGATTACTTTTTTGGTGTTCTGACAGTTAGTTTGGTTATACAATTAATATTCCAAAAAATGTTGTGTTTATACAACATTCTAATTGTCAAGAAAACAAAAAATTTAATAAAACAAATAGGATTGCTTTGTTCAATATTAACAGTACTTTTTTTCTTGTTTGCGCATGCGCGAATTCTAAATTCTGTAGTCAGTAGTAGTTAGTATGCTCTAAAGAGGTCTTAAATTAAGACCTCCTTAACGCCTAATAGACAGCGAAAACGGTCTTATGTAGACCCTATGAGATCTTAAATCGATTCTATCACAATGTAAGTAAAATCTCTTCAGGTTCTTATAGGTTCTCCATGAAGCAGGTCTTAACGGACTCTGAGTCGACTCTAAATTTCGACTCGGGAATATAGCAGATGAATTTACAATTGAAGTGAAAACTGATACACTGGACATGGAAAGTAATAGAAAGTAGACGACATTAAAAGATGACATTTAACAATACTTTATGGAAAAATGCCTTTCATACTGGAAAATAATTTACTAAAATCGAAATTAAATTGAAACAAAAAAAAAAAAAAAAAAACAAATCAAAA